TCTGTTCTTTACTTCCACTGTGTATTCATAAGGGATTTGGTTTAGAATATACCTGAGTAGCCCAGTGGTTTTTCCTACTCTGTTCAGTTTAAGCTTGAATTTTGCTATGAGAAGCTGATGATCAGAGCCACAATCAGCTCCAGGTCTTGTTTTTGTTGACTGTATAGAACTTCTCCATCTGTGGCTGCAGAGTATATAATCAATCTTATTACGGTATTGCCCATCTGGTGATGTCCATGTGTAGAGTCGCCTCTTGGGTTGTTGGAAAAGAGTGTTTGTGATGACCATCTTGTTCTCTTGACAAAACTCTATTAGCCTTTGTCCTGCTTCGTTTGAACTCCGAGGCCAAACTTCCCTGTTGTTCCTTTCATCTCTTGACTCCCTACTTTAGCATTCCAGTCCCCTATAATGAGAAGAACATCTTTCTTTAGTGTCAGTTCTCGAAGGTGTTGTAAGTCTTCATAGAATTGGTCAATTCCAGTCTCCTCAGCACTGGTGGTTGGTGCATAAACTTGGATTACTGTGATGTTGAAAAGGCCAAAGGGCCCTATACTATCATCTGTTACAATCATGTCAAAAATGCAGAGCCTATTCCTTGGCCAGATTTAATGTAATGCCTTCAGCAGTATTATCTGGCAGGTTTCAGGGTATTCCTACAATGAGAGGAACTGCTCCTGTGAACTGGGAGAAACTGAGTCGCTGGTACACATGAGTTTACATTGCCCTCGCTATTCTGAACCCCACAATATCTGGGCTCAATATTGCTTAAGGTAAGAGGGAATATTGCTTAAGGTATGAGAGTGGAAGACAGGGTAGAGAAAGTAGCACGCTTCTTAGCACACACAGTGAACATGCCAAAAATAGCATAGTTTGAACCAGCACACCCTCCTTGAGCAAGGTTTAAGGATCTTCTGATGTAATCACTGGGCTAATTATGACAATAAAATCTTTAATTATTATTATAAGGTACATAGAATAGGGTGGAGAGTGTGTCTTGCGGCATAAATAGTAAAACTACATTGAATCTGAACAAACTTTGATATTCTTTCAGAAAGGTGCAAACAAGTTTTACTTAATGTAGTTTTTGACTAGGTGGTTTGTATATGCCAATACAGGTTTTTGATTGATTGATTGATTGAATTGTCTTTTCAGTTCATCTTTTTCTTGTGAGATCTACATCTTAGCTTCAGAGGTTGCTCTCTCTCTCTTTTCCTTTGCCTTGACATTGTGTTAAAGGACTGAGGAAAAGAGGCAGCTATCAGCTATCATATTTATGCTTACATTGTAGTAAAATCATATTGCAGTAAAAGTGATTTACTATTCTTCCCTCTGTCCTCATTCATGTTTCAAACTACTCTCCTTTTATGTTGCTACAGGGGACAAAATATTTCAAGTACAATGCTTAGCAATTTGAGTTTGTTTGGTCTAGTCTGGGGTTGTTGTTGTTGCTGCTGTTGTTTTATCCTTTCACTCTGCAATCTGGAAGAGACATTTGCTAATACATTCACACTCATCAGTCGAGAAAATAGAATTCATCCCAAGATGGTGCCATATTTATGTATGGTCATTTCTGAGAGAAACTATCAGCAGAAAGGAAGGAAGGGAGTTTAGTAAGTAATGGAAAGTACTGAGACAGCACAGTAAGCTTATTCACATATGCTATTTATCTCCTTTCAGCTTTAGGCAGAACAGACTTATCTCTAATAGTGCAACTTTTTGTATGTCTGTTCAGTAGTAAGGCCCATTAAATTCAATGGTACTTGCTCCCAGGTAAGTATGTACAGGATTACAGCCTAACACTGTATTAAATGAGATTAGTGACTATAAAAATTTATTCCACAATAAACTAGTCAGTCCCTATAGCTGCAAGCTACAACCCAATTATACCACGGAAGCCAGGGTAATGTTAATGGGATTACTCTAGCATGAATGAGCTATGGATTGTAGTCTATGTTACTGAAGCACTTTTCCTTTACTAATAAAACCACAGGCATGTGAATATTTATTATCCCCTACTCCAATTTTTATCATAGCTTTCAGGCCTTTTCACAACTATTTTATGATTCCCTTAGAATTAAGGAAAACAATTTCAGATATGAGATATGAAGATCTATGCTGAAAATATAACAAAAAAACTGGCAGAACCTATGGTGAAAATAGCTTTAAGCAGGCCTTTTGCTTTTTCACTTAACTTCTGCCATCTCTCCATCATACCAGCTAGCTCCAGCACAGTTAGACTCTGAAAGCTTATCAATAGAAGGGGAAGAGAGAATAGAAAACCATTAATATTTCATGTGCACAGTTGCTACTAGTATGTCTTGTCCTCTCACAAACTAGAATCACTAAACAATGTATTTTGTTGCCAGGAAACTTCCTACATCATAATGTTCTTTTCCTGCCTTGCAGGGTTAATCTTCAAGCCTGAACGAAGTTATAAATAATCACTGCAAAAATAACAACAGTAAAATAATATCCACACCTGCCTGAGGGGGTAATCAAGGATTTATAATCCATGAAGGAGGGCAGTCATCTGTTGCTGGGGCTACTGGAGGAGCACTGGGAAAAAGAGTAAGCATTTTTTGTTTTTCTTTCCAAATGTCACCAGCAAAAAAAAATCTTAGATTTTTGAAAAAGACGAATATGTGGCGGAATGCCCACGTCACTCCTGTCCATCATATGGAGCTCAAGTGCAGAAGCCTATGATAGGACAGGAGGGGCGGAGTTAGAGTGACAGTTGGGGAGTTAGAGAGTTAGAGAGAAAGAGAGGGGGGAATGTAAGTGAGAGCATTAGGACATTGAATTGAGAGAGAGTTAAGACAGAGATTGGAAAGTTGGAGTGTTATAGAGAATAGGAAAGAGTTACAAGGAATAGAGAATAGAGAATAGATAGATGATTAAAGAATATTGTTAAAAGGTTACTGTGAATAAAAACTCTTACAAGTAAACGTGTGATCAAATCCTGTTTAATAAATGGTCCTTAACAACTGTGATTTACATCTGTGATTTACATACCAACTAAATGATCAATAAAACCTGTTGTGTTGGCAGCACATGTCTGAAATATATTTGGTAAATTGTGGACTAGACCCTCTGGTGGCAGCGTAGAAAGAGGAAACGCATCCAGAGGGTGGACCTGTGTTTGGGGAGAACAAACAAGGGACACTAGGGGGACGCAACACCACACAAACAGGGCACATGAGAAGAACAAAACCACACAAACAGGGCACACTGGCATACATGACTATCCCACTCTAAGATGAAAATTATGCCCCTGTGTTATTTCCACCGGCTTCCACCTGTGAGTTCTCCAAGCTGTCCTTACTAATAAAAGGACAGATATTGGTACAGGAGAACTGGTAGAGGTACTAGAATTCAAATAAAAAATCTAAAGGGATGTGGGCCTGGCAAACCCTGGGCAATGGGTCTTTCAGAGGGTTTATCAGGTGAAAGAAGGCAACAGTGTTCTGAATAGTGCCTTGTGATTTAATTGCATTTCCATCTCAATTTCTCATTATGCTATGTGGTCATGCTGTATCAGATATACTGTGAAGAATTTACACATTTCCTTGACTTTAAGACTATCAGATCAGACAACCAGCAGTGGCTTTGGTTAGATGCTAAGACTTCAGAAGGTGCACATGGATGATGAGTTCTGATATCTGTCCTGGTTATGCAATTGACTCAAAATGACAGAATCTTCCAATTTTCTAAGCATCATTATTACTGAATACTTGGAGCCTTTGATGAATACTGCAGCCATTAACCTACCTGGCTTTAAGCTGACCAGTCATGAATGAAGGGTCTAAACTTACAACTTCCCAATAAAACAGATCAACATAAAATAAATCAACAAACGAAAGACCAAAAAAAAAAAAGGTCCTCTGTCAAAACATGGTTGGAAAAATATTTTTTTATGTGACAGTGTACATGGTCTTCAAAACCAAATGCTTGTGAATGAGTCTCCCGAACAATTGAAATACATATTATATCTGTGACCTGTTTTAGAAAATAATTTCATATACTTGGACCACCCCATTGCTCTTGAAATATATAACTTTGGATTTTGAGTGGTATGTAGCACATTTTTGGTAGTCAGTTTTTTGTTTGTTTGTTTGTTTAGTTTTGAAGCACAGCTTCCATTCAGGAGAATTTAGTCACCAATAACATAGCAGTTGGGTGTGATAAAGCCACATATGGTAGGAAGACAAAAGGATTTTAAAAGCAGTAAGAATTCACATTCAGCTGTATGTACTTACCTACAGGAGACATTTCTGGTACTCCAGCAGTGTAAGGACCATCCAGAAATTTAGGCTCATTGTCATTGATGTCCTGAATCTTAATGACGAATTCTGACTCTGGCTCCACGGGCTTATTTGTCAGTCTATCCAGTGCTTGGGCTCGGAGGGTGTAGTAGGCCTGCTCCTCCCGATCAAGCCTCTTTGTAGCATGAATATCCCCTGTGTTCTCATCAATAATGAAAATGGAACTTGCCCCTTCTCCTGACAAGATGTATTTGATGGAGCCATCTCCTTTATCAACATCAGAGTGAAGCTGGTGAAAAATTGATGAGAAATGAAATTAATTTACAGGAAAGCCAGTGATATGAATACACATTTTAAAAAATAGTAATTCACATGTCAGGCAGCACTATGTGAAATTTTTATTGTTTTTGGAGAGATAAACCAAATGTTGATTATGCACAGCATGTAGGAAATGACTGGAAGTTGTCAGCCAGATCTGGTGAGCTAGAAAACACATCCGTCTCATTCCATGAAGAGTTTTATTTTCAAAAGCATTTAACGACAAGTCAAAGGAGGGACCCCATTTGCTATAGTTTTCTATGAGAACAGAGACTTATCTTAGAGACTGACAATCTAATAGCAGTTACTCCAGGATCGGAGAACTGCTCAGAAGTGCTTCAGAAATATGCAATACTGGCTATTTGGCTTACAAGGTGTTTCAAAAAAGAATTTGAGTGAACACTAAAATTCCTGTTAACACATTGCCTCATATAAACCCAACTCAAAGATCACAGAAATGCTCTGCAAGGTCTCTAAAATCATAAAAGAGATGTAAGACAATGGGCTTGTGCGAATGCCAACACACACATTTCTTTAATATAGTTGCCGTTTGACAGCAAATCGGTAATTCCGTAATCGTACTGCACAAACTTAAAGAATGAGAATGGATTAAGTCGTTTGAAGTTGTGTCACACACGAAATTAACAGTGTGATCTTAAGGAAACTATTTTGCTGGTACAGTGGTACCTCGACTTACAAATGTCTCCACTTGCAAACATTTCGAGGTATGAACAGCTCCGCTCGGAAAATGTTGCTTCGACTTCTGAACGCAGCCTCAACTTGTGAACGAAATAAAAGGCAGGGGAAAAGGGCAGGAAATTCATGACTTGTGAACAAAATAAAAGGCAGGGGAAAAGGGCGGGAAATTCAAATTTCCCCTGCCTTTTTTTATTCCATTCAAACCGTTGGTGGGAAAAAGGTGGCTCTTTCGCCCCATGAGTTAGGAAAAGGGACCCCCAGGAGGTCTCCAATGGCAGCAGGGAAGCTCCCAAGGCTTTTCCGCTGCCTTCAGAGACCTCCTGGGGGTCCAATTATGGTGGCAGAGAACCCCCAGGAGGTCTCCGATGGCAGCGGGGAAGTCCTGGGAGACCTCCTGGTGGTCCGATTGTGGCAGTGGAAAAGGGCAGGAAATTTAAAAATGCTCCCCCACCGCCACTCGCCCCCGGTAGCGGAGCGTCGTGAGGCTTGACCTGGCCGGGCACTTGGACACTCGCACCCTGCCTCGCCATGACGGAGGCAGTGGAGTGCTGGGAGGCTTTGGAATAGTAAGTCCTTTTTAAAAAACTGTTCTGGGTGGGTTTTGGAGGGGGGTTGGACTGGGAGGGTTATATTTCTGTGCTGTGTTATTTTTGGATTTGTGGTTTTTGCTTGTTTTTTTACAGTCCCAGTGTGGGACTTCCTCTGTTTATTTTTGTTTTTTATTTTTGGGGTTGTTGTTTTTTTTGAAATGCTGGAACGGATTAATCCCGTTCCCATGCATTTCAATGGGAAATGGTACTTCAACTTACAAACATTTCGACTTACGAACGCCGTTCCAATACATCGAGGTACCACTGTATCAGTTTTATGACAAACAGAAAGCAATTTTTGAAAGTCCTTTAGATCATTTTGTATATAGTAACATGTCAAGGAAAATTACAGGCCTGAGCAGAATGGAGTGTATTAATGAGAACCCATAATGATCAGGTGTGTTAAAACTGAGTCAGGATGACTCAGCAGAGCTGATGCAACTCATGGATGATGCAACTCAGGGATGATGCAATGTGTGATCTGATTGTTCCTGTATATGTATATATGTGTGAATTGTACAGTCAGTTGTATCTTCTTCCTGCCTGAAGATCACTTCTACATGTTATGCTGTCAGAATGCTGTAAATACTGCTGTAAATACACGTTGCTGAAGGAAATGCTGCTGGACTGTGAGTGAGTTATTTCTGGACTGCCTGGACTGCGAATCACTCTGCTAAAACTGCAATCTGCGTTAAGAAACGCTGACAGAAGGTTATGGGCCCAGCGCTGCGCCCTGCGATACCTGTGTTGCGTCAAGGAAGCTGGTGAGTACCAGTGGGTACCAGAGAGGCAACAGAGATTCCAGGGAAGTGAGAGTTCTGCCGTTTGGAGCCCAGGAGGGGAAGAAAAACGGAGGACCAACAGAAAAGCAGCAAAATGCAGGTGTTTGGCAGTATGGGAGGTTTTCCTGTAATCAGACTGAATGAAAATAACTACCAAATATGGTCAGTGAAAGCTGAGATGTTCCTGAGACGGGAGGAATTGTGGGAGATAGTAAACAATCCCCCTGCTGCCCTAGACGAGGAGGAACAAAAGAAAAATGAGAAAGCTCTATCTACAATAATTCTTTGCCTGGTGAAGGCAAATAATTATTGTAGAAACCGCGATTGCTAGAACCGTGATTTGCGTTAAGAAACGCTGACAAAACATTAAAATATACGGCACTCCCACATTCTGTATAAACACTGTCTATGTATGTGGTAATAAGCAAAAATGTTCACTGCAGATTATATTCATGTGTTATAAATAAAACATATTTTATGCCATGGAAAAGGGTCTTCAAGCACAAGCACTAAATTAAGTTAATATGGAAAACTGAGCAAGGAATCATTAGATATAGTACATTTACCCCAAGAATACTCAGAAAACCTACAAGCAATTGTGTGTTTGAACTATTAATCAAAGGGCAATTTCTGTGTTTCTCTTTATTTGGTGAAAAGCCTCCCTCTTAGCAACTGTTAGGTGGGTTTACCTTACAGATGCTAAACAGAATTCAACTGGGCTAATTGGAAAATACTGTATATGTTGTCACCTCTTTCAACCATCTAAGTCTGTAATATTGATACCTGAACCTATTCTCTCCTGACATATTCTATCTTAACTATCTTCCTTCCATTTCTTCTCGGCTAAGCTAGGGACATGTTCATTTGAATTGTTTTTAGTACTGATTTTATTTAGCTTTTTAAATTAATATACTTTAACAATATTTGTATACTTACTGTTTTTAGGTTTTAAATAAATTGTCTTTTTAATGACTTAAGCCACCTTACTTCCTATTAAGGAGGAAGGCAGGATAAAAATATATTTTAAAAATTGGAAAAGTGAAGACAAAACTCTTACTTTTTCCACTCAAATGTTCAACTACCAGACTTCTCTACTGCACACATTTCCCTGGCCTCATCCTCATATGGTATTTTCCCCTGTGTACAACACTTAATAACCCCTGCACTGAGGAGCAGGCAGGACTCTGACACAAAGGAAGAGAAACCAACTACACCAAGAAAGCTAGAGGCACAAAGCTTGAAGGTACTGAAGCGACCCACAGACCACAGCCTTTTACATGAAAATATCCTGAGTGCCTACTCCCTGAATTAAAAAAAATGAACTTCTTGAATCAGATTTTTTTTGCTTCACATTACTAGTGCCTGCTCATCAGCACAGGCAATGTATGTGGCAGTACATTGTAAAAGCAACAGAGTGTTAGGCTTAGACCAGATGATTGTCTTTTAAAGATTCTCTGCTCTTTAACAACAGTATGCCATCTGGGAAAAATGGCCCTGAGAGAGCCAAAGGGCCTCTGCTGAATTTTGAACTGTGTTGAACCAAGCCATCTGCTTAGAACAATCCACAGTTCTGCAACTCCAGCTTGACCCTACTGGATGTCAATCTAAATAAATATCATCAGTCATTTTTCATATCTTATGGTGTTCTTAGAGTCAGGGCATATCCAAGTACACCCAACCTTGCCAACATCCCTGAAAAGACTGCCCAACTACTCTTCTCATATTTTGATTATTAATTCTGTATGCTTTTGCACCAAGGGCAGTTTATGGAACTTGACAATGGGGCATTTCACCCCAGATTTTCAGGGGATACGCATTGCACTGGTCACAAGCTGCTATTTTATTGCACTCTTGGGATGCTCTGTTTTCTACCTCTGTGCGCCACTTATTCTCAGTGGGAAGTGTTCATATCAAGAGTTCCATAAAGAGAGTTCTTGGTTCCATAAAAATTCAGCTCATATTTAATCTATCCCTTCTTACCTCTCCCCCCCCCCTTTGGAATTGACCACCACTGAAATATATTCCCCATCTCACTCAATCACTTATTTCCCTCATCCCTCCTCAGACCACTTCCTCAGCAAAAAAAATTGCCCAGCTAATCTGGATTTACCACATGTACCAATTCAAAGTGTTGTACATCGCTGACTTAATTCTCTTATGCTTCACTACCTGTATTCACTAGTCAGTTCTTGACTTCAGCCATAAAAATTGCTAAGAGTGAGAAAGACTCAAAAGCCCATGAAGTTTGAGACACGACTGTTCACTACTCACACAGATGAGTGTTATGGACGGCAGATGTCAATGTTCCAATAGCAAAGCACAGACCTGGTGCAAAAGGCACTGCCCGTAGAACAAAAACATTGGATGAGTTAAGTGAATCATTATGGATCTCTTTACCAATACTAATGTGCTGATGATTCAGCTTCTAATATTGATCTGTAAATCCTCCAGACAGCAATAAAACCCATATTTTCTGCTCTGCATTTGACACAAGGCTAGCTGCATGCTTGGCAGGGATCTCTGTAAGCTTTTTCTTCATATGGCAACAGGCTGTTCGATGTGCAGTTTCTTTTTTGTTGTCACTACAAAAGCACAAGAGGCACTGGCAAAACACTGGTCTAATCCATATGCTTTCCATCTAATTTTTCCACAATGTTTCTAAACAACGAAGCTACACAGACATTGGTGATGATAATTTTAAAAATTGGCTAGAGCCATCCAGGGTGCCAGTTCAGGGACACAGTCATCTGGCATTGAATGAAGCTTGGCCAAGGCAGCTATAACCACACTACAGAGTCCAAAATGGGACATCTGAACTATCCAATGGTGTCAGCCCCTGGCACCAGACCTAACTTAGCACAGAGTTGATAGGAAAAAAAAAAGTTGAAACATAGTGGAAA